CATATTCGTTTCGGAAATATAAAATCGAACAACGGTTGATCTGCAGCTTGATTTTGAATGCCTCTTCCGATCGGAAATTGCGTCTCTTCCGATTCGAGGCGCATAATTGCGATTCACAACTGGCAAAATATAGTAGGAATCAGGTTCATCTTCTCGCTCGGAAACCATCTGATTTTGAGACACTTTGAATTAAAATCAGCCTGTTGATATCCATAGCTACCTCCGTGACCGGGCTAGAGAAATATTTGTATGGCCTACATTTATTTCTCTCGGAGTTTGGGTGTAATTTGTGGTTGTCTATATGTACACAGCGTTTTCCTAAAGCGGGGCTACGTTGAGTGTGTGTGTTAAAAAAAAATTGCTAAGAACAACGAACTAAATGTACAGTGTCCTGAGAATAAGCAGTCTTGCACATAAGTCTTTGTTCTACAGATGAGTCGCCTAGGTGTACAAGTGAAATTCGTATTTTCGTGGATTCGACTTAGTGCACAAGTGACTTTCGAAGTCCGGGTCCGAGTTTTCTAGATTTGTACAGTCTCGGATCCAGAATGAATACGAATCGGATGCAGTACGCGCTAAGCCGGTATCATACATATATATATTACAGGCTAAATTATTACCTAAATATAAAGTGTATGAATAAATTATTTGCAATTTGGTTTTTCCTATGCAGTCGACAGTATATTCTGTAAGCTGTCAGTTTTTATAGCCTGTGAGTATATTTGAATAATATCAATCAGGTAATGATAGCCTAGTTGGAAGGTGATTACCTTGCAATATAAATTTACTAGCTCGATTATCGACAACACGTTGGTGCATCCTTGAAGGCCCGTCTACACGGTCGGGGCTCAAAGCGATTTAAGCGTGAAACACACTGAAACCGGGTGCGGGTCGGGTGCGGGTCGAGTCGGGACCGCGGCGTATTTATATGGACGACAACACACCGAGCGCTGGCGCGGGACGGGGGGTGGTACAGAACAATAAATATAGCAGAAGTAGTTAGTTAGCGTCTGACGCGTGCCAACTATATGTCTCGAAAGGACTATTTGAGTTCACCATTTTCGCTATGTATGGTATGGTTATGTTATTCTTTCGTGCAAATTCTCTAAAATCCCAGAAAAATACCTCATTGTGCTGTTCTGGGATGCAAAAATGGTAGCTGCACCAATCAGAAAGTTTTATTTTAATAAATTTTCAATTTTCTGTTTATCCCAATATTTTTTTGTTACAAGAAACGTCGCTTCTTCCCTTGGAGAACTAAATTAATAAGTCCAATTCGTCGTAGTTTAGCAATTAACCGCTAGATGGCAGCACATTGATAGCTATTTCAACATAATATTAAAACGTCGTAACTTGCAACAATAGATATTGATGGTGTTGAACTTTCAACGATATACCAACAGGGTAAAGTTTAAATTGTATTAACAATCCAGAATTGTTACTTCTTTTTAAATTTGAAACCACGTCTAATGAATATAAAGATTTTGTAGTGTTTAAAATTAAGAATGTGTGACTTGTGGCGACATCGGTTCTGGTAGTAATCGCTTAAGTCACTTCCAATGTTTTTTAGTTCCGTGGGCGCACGCCTATTTGACTCCTTTGATGCTTCGAGAAACCGACCAGCGCGCGGTAACGCGTGTTTGGTGTTTGCTGTATTTGTCGAATATGCAAACAAAGCAAATACTTTGGCACACATGCCATCTATTGTTTGCCAAGTATATCAAATACGCAAATACAAAAAGTCATGTGAAGTGCCACCATTTGGAGTTACTAAACAAATTTGAGACATGACCTTTTCAAAATTAGTTCTAGTTTGGATGATCTGGATTCAGAGTGAATTCCGTTAGGTACTCTGGTACTCATAGTACAGGGAATTCCATCGTTAGAGACCAGGGGAATTGTTGTGACTTTCTGGCACATTATTGTTAAGTGTAGAGGGCTGGTTGCTACTTGTTTTGCTAATTTAGAATTAAAACCAAAACATTTGTAAAATTAACACGGCATAATGCAGCAGGCAAGCCACGAAAGATACAGGCAATTTTGACAGCAGAGAGATCTTCTAAAATGGCTTAGATTTACGTACGTTCAGCCTAGTTTCAAATTATAACAAACAGACCAAAAATCTATTTACCCTAATATATTAAAATTAAAAAAAACTACTAAACTACAAAATATTCAACAAATATTATTATATTATTACAAGACGCCTGCAAAGCGAGACGATAATGGTAAATCATAGGTATATGTTAAAACTTGTATTATATCGAACTAATTAAGGGATAAATTTAATGTTAACAAAATATTCATTCACAAAAAGTAATCCTTAAAGTTCTTTCTCGATTTTCTCAAGAAATGTCAATGAATCTGTATTTATCACAATACAGGTTCGACTGACTTGAACATGTAAGTACAAAACCAATATCATTCATTTATTCACTAACAGAATAAATCACATAAAAGATTATGTACGTGTATGTGTATGTATTACTTATAGTAAAAATCTCTGTTGCGCATTTTGACATAGTATGTTTTTACTTATTTTTGTTGAAGTGAAACTTATAAACCTCTAGCTTAAATATAATATTATTAAGGCAATATAACATCTGCGTGCTTAGTATGGCGCTTTTTATCAACCACTTCTTGACTAATTGTTTATTACAGTTGATAAATCGTTTCATTTATTGCAAATACATTATAAAGAATTTGACAGCTAAATGTGAAAGAGAATGTTAACTAATTAAAATGCGAACATTTACGCTAGTTTATTATTGTTACTACACGTGGAAATCCTAAAGGCAGTGTATCATGTCTCAAACATTCAAAATCTTGGTGAAAAGGTCGATCTCAACGTACATTTTATCAAGCAGATGGAGGATGCTCCTAAATTAGTTGCTGTATATAAAATGACAACATGAAACACACAAGTGCGCAAGTATGACCAATACTTTTTTTTACAATATCAAGTGACGGGACGAACAAGTCGTGTGCCTGATAGTTAAGCTACACGCCTCTCCATAACAGTTGCAGTAGCAACTGTGCTTTAAATCGTAAATATCTGAGGGGCACTGCCACAGCGCCCGTCACCCTGAGACATAAGTTGACAAGTCCCATGTGCCTGTAATTTCACCAGTACCTTTAACCCTTCAAAACCGGAACACAGTAATGCTGACATTACTGCTTGGCGGCAGAAATAGGTAAGGTGGCAGTACTACCCTGGACGAACTCTTTCACAAGGAGTTCTACTGCTACTTGTAATAATACACACAGAGAGGTAGTTCCGTATGTATCGACAAGTGTTGAGATTATAGTGACATTCCTTATCAACCTCTTGGTCATGCGGGACGGACTATATAACCTATGCAAGCACCGGATAGGAACTTAACCTTATAAGTTCAGTTCCTGATCCCGGATCAGCCCTTGTATAGGGTTATCACGGTTCGATGTCACGGACTTCATCCGTTTCTCAAGAGGTTCGTCCCTATTTTCCAGATAGATACCGGAGCTGTTGTGCATTGCACATCTAACGGTTGCCACCACTAAGCCGTTGCTTCTAAAGTAAAGGTAGAGGGAGGCAAGCGTGATAGTATTAATTCCTAGTTTGTGCTAAATTTTAATTTCTTCTTCTTTTTCTCGTATTGATGGTATACACCATAATGCTTGCCATCCATATTGTTGTCCAAGATACGCCAGATATTCAGGAAAGGAATGGTGAGCCGCGCGGGGAGGCTCCTTTAGTTCCAATTAAATTCGTTAATATATTGATTTGATTTGAAATATTAATTAGCATAAACTCGCGATGTTTTTTCACTAAGTATAAATTCGAAATTGTTTCATATTGCATAAGTAAACCAATTATACTTGAAATCATCAGTACTACGATCCGAAGACTTAAGCAATTAAGTCAAAAAAATAAATACACGAGGATTGTTTTTCCGCGTTGTTTATAATGTCGGAAGATGTTAAGATAATCATAGGGTTGAAAAAGACGTTACTAGAGTTTAAGTTGAAATTAATGAATTTTTCGTAAAATGTGGTATAAAAAAAGTTTTTAGCATTTTATTGTTACCATTGATACAAAGTTTAACAACCACAAAGAAAAATATCTGGATTCGTTGGTTTCTGTCGTTCAAAGATTTGAATGTTTGAAACATGATACACTTACCTTTTAAGAATTCCACGTGCATTAGGAAACCTTTAAACAAATTAAGATAGGTATGCTGGTAATGACTACATGTGTAACGTTATGCAACGTTTTTAAACCAAACAATGATTGACGTGTTTCAAAAGCAGGCATGTAGTACGACACCATACCCAACCATTAGGCTGCCGAATGACCATTTATCTTTGTTCAGTCAATGTGGGAAGATTTTGACTTTTAATATGTGTTATGATGTGGACATCCCTGTTACCATTAGAATATTCCCGTAGGCGTCACACGCTGCTTCACACTCAAACTGCATTCCCGATATTCCACTTTCACTTACTTCGATTTCATCAGTCATTTGATTAGGCTCTGACACTCTCGGTTACTCTTGGATCTTTTGACCTGGTCTTTCACGATGTCCTATTTTCATGACAGCATTAATCTAGTTTTTAAATTTAGTTGTATTATTTTTATTTCATAATTCGACTTGAAACATCATGTTTACATGTATTGCTCATTCTGGTCAAAAATTTCTAAAAAGGGGCTGTCTTTATAAAACTTATAGTTTGTGTAACATTTGGATCTGTATCTTTTGATCATTTGATTACTCACAGTATAGTAAAAATATCTAAATAAATTTAAGCTGGTTTACCACCTTCGCAAATAACAAATATTAAATAACAAACAACTTTCGCAAAGATAACAATAAATAAGAATATTGATATCAAAATACAAAATAAAAATTGGATCTTCTAAAAGAAAATAAGACGATAGGAATGTACTTTGCTTCATTTATTTAAAATCCCATTTACATTCAATCACATAGTGATACTCCATATTGTTTTACAATTCTATACAATTTGTACAAAATTATTTCCTATTTTTTTTTTATTTTATAATGCCGGTTTAAAATTAAATAATAAAAGCTTTGGTTTAGTATTTGTAGCCTTCTTCTTCGCTGAAGCTAGGTGGCTGGCGAGGACCTCCGAAGGCAGGGCCTTGAGCTCCTTGTGCTCCTGGAAAACCACCCTGAGCACTAGCTTGGTTTCCTGGACGGGAACCAATCTGACCTTGGCCGGGTAAACGGTTTTGGGAACCAGGGTTTCCCTGACCGTTCAATCCACCTTGGGCACGAGATCCAGCAGAAGTGTTAAAAGAGGGAGCGCCGGAATCTTGAGACCCTGGGCGATTGTATTGGTAGCCCTGACCAGACATAGAAGATCCAGATTGGGTGGAAGGCCTGAATGTATTCTGGCTTGAAGCAGAAGGACTGAACGATCCTTGGTTGGATCCAGAAGGGCTGAGTGACCCTTGACTAGAACCAGGAGTTCTGAACGATCCCTGGGTGGAGCTAGAAGGGCCTACATTTCCCTGGCTGGAACCAGAAGGACTGAAAAGTCCTTGGTTGGATCCAGAAGGTCTGAAAGAAGGTCCAGACGATCCCTGTGTGCCTGATTGAGGTCTATTAGAGGCCTGAGGACGAGATCCCTGAGCAGAGTCTGAAGGTGTAAAAGATCCAGAACTAGAAGGCCTGTTGAAAGGTCCCTGAGATCCAGACTGAGAAGCTTGGTTAAATTGTGGGCGATACTGACCACTAGAGCCTTGGGTCTGCTGAGTGGTCTGAGGACGATTATATTGGTAACCAGAATCACCACCCTGAAATTGGGAGCCACGACCTCCTGCTTGAGAACGACCAGGGAAACTTTGTTGTCCAGACGGGGCAAAATTTCCTTGTTGGTTGAACTGTCCGGAAGATCCCTGATTGAATCCAGGTCCTTGAGTACCAGGTTTAGAGCTAGAAGGAGTGAAACCAGTGGCACCACCAGACTGCTGAGTAGTTTGTCCTTGATAAGAACCGCCTTGACTGCTCTGACCGCCTTGAGGTCGATTGAATCCACCTTGGTTTCCTTGACTAATTTGAGGCTGATTATATGCACCTTGAGCTTGACCTTGACCCTGGTAATTAAGTGAACCAGCATTGTAAGCTTGCGGCGACTGGTTATCTTCTTCGGGATTGTAAGCTCCTGGAAATAAATAAAGCTTGAATTAAAAACTTTTTTAATTTAAACACAAAAATGTGTGTAATTCTGTCACAGAAGTAATTGCAAATATCATTAGTACTATATATTATATTGCATTGTTCGTTTACAAAACAAGAACCTATATTTTCCAAAGCCATAATATTATAGTGGTTTACAGAAAGAAAACAAGGAAGAGTAATAATGTAATTGCAATTAATAAATTGCAGTTTTATGGAAGTTTGATTGACGAATATTTTAATAAACGAAATTACCCTCTTGTGTACCAGCAGCAGCAGCTCGAGCGTTCTGTTCGATGGACCGCAGAATTTCTTCAGGAATGGGATGAGGAGTAGGCAAGTGGTCTCCCTGGGGTACGAAACCATTCTCATCGGCAGTGTATGTGATTCTGTAGGTCTGACCGTCGTCACCAACGTACGAATAACCACCTTGAGCCTGGACACCATTAGTTGCAACACCAGATTCTTCAGCAGAAATTCCATTCGATGTTTCGAAGCTGTACGAAAAAGTTTCACCGTCGTTTTGGTTATCGTATCTCAAGATTTCAGCATTTCTATCAGCATCAGCTTGAGCCCGCTGAGGTTGAGAGCCAGCTGTGCCTGAAAATCCACCCTGGGGTTGACCGAAACCCGACGGTGCTTGTTCAAATCCTTGAGTCTGACTGAATGTTTGTCCAGATGGGCCAGTCGATCCTGATTGGCCTGCCTGTCCAAATCCTTGAGTCTGACCAAATCTTTGACCAGATGGGCCAGTAGATCCTGACTGGCCGGACTGTCCAAATCCTGATGGTCCTGAAGATTGACTGAAGGTAGACTGGCCTTGTGGGTTGCTTTGTCCAAAACCACTTGTACCCGATGCACCTGGCAGAGCTGATGGTTGGTTGAATCCACCAGAGGATTGGCCAAATCCACCACTGCCTGTCTGTCTAGATCCAGCACTGGAAGGTCCAGAAGGTCCAGCAGGAGCTGTCAGGGATCCAGGGCCGCCGCCAGCAGTTGCTGCGTTAGCAGGTGGAAGGTATGTTCTGTCCAACTTCGCTGCATAGCTGCATGCTAATACTGATAAGATTATAAGCTGGAAAGAAATAAAGATCTTGAGCATTTCACTTTAATAAATAAATAACTCTTCAAATTCAATAGGATACTGGCGCTCTCTTAGAACAGTTCGCATTAATATAGTTGACACACAATATTAATATAATATATAGAACTTCGCCTAAGGCAAGTAAGTTTTGAAACAAAATTTATTGTAACTTAAAAGTTGCTCCCATTTTTCAATTAACTTGCAATTCAATCGATGAAGATTAAGATAAGATACGGGATTCCTCTCATCGTAAAGATGCTTAGACAATGAACCAATTTAGTCCGAACTTGCGGAACATAACACAATCACTGACACTAAAAAAATCCTTGTTAATTACGACAACGAGCGCAATTAATCAAAATCTAAAATTATAGACATTTAAGTCACCGTCACGTGAAAATAAGGTCAAAATTCCTTAGAAAACTATGATTTTAAAATTTAATCTCTACTTGTCACTTCAATGTTTTCAAATGTCAAAATTGAGCAACTTGACTGTGAGAGCCATATAACAGGCAATTCGGATAATTGTTTAATGACATATTATTATTTTTATTATATTATTTTATTACCAGCTTCATCTCAGCTGTTGTTTTGCTTAAGGATGAACACCGAATGTGCTTGTTCAGATAACTGTACCCTATTTATATGATTACAGAATTCGTTCGTTCAAAGTGTTTAGGTAAGTTGCACTCACGGTCCTAACCTTTGACTGTACGAAGATTCCCACTAAGTTTACGTGTGTGAGTTTCTTGCACAATTTTGTGATCGATATTGCCGATGCATTAATTATTTTGTGCTCGTGGGTTTTTGAGATGAAATATGGTATCTCATGTTTTTAATAAATTTATAAGTGCATCTTTTTTAGGTGCCGTATTGGCCCGATGCAGGCGGAAATGCTTCACACGTTTTCCATTGATTTAGAACTTTCTTCGACATCCTTTTTTCTTATTGGTTTTCCTTCAGATCATATGATCATATTCATAATAAAATTATGATCATAAGTGACATATAGCGATAACAGTTGCAGTGCCACTCAGAGCTTTAAATCACAAATATTTGAGTATACCTGTCAAAACCGAAACGTAGTAATGCTCACATTACTGCTTGGCGGCAGAAACAGGTAAGGTACTTCCATGGATGAACTCTTTCACAACGACCTCTACTGCTACTAAACTAATTAATAACTGCTTCCCCGGCCGAACGGTTACCACCCTGGACTGTCATGCAGAGGTTCCGGATTTGATTCCCATATTAACTGGCTGTCTATGTATGTCTCCATGGTACCCGCGATACAGGGTTTCCCTGGTACGAGGCTATGAGTAAGGCATACTTCCCGATGTAGTGGAAATAATATCTTATTTACGTATACAACTTATAGCGTTGTTGTTTCTCGAAAGTCTCTCTGTTAGATTCTATTTTCTTGAAAGCAATGCCAAAAAGAGAAGTATTTAGGGAAAAAATGCCAGTCAATCACTCCAAATTTCTGGTCTCAAATTTCCTGTACTATGAGTACCAGGGTAACGATAATTCTGAGGGCAATACCTAGAATACCCTGACCAGAACCAACTTAATAATGTTTTTTCATAAATTGGCTCAAATAAGGAATCAAATCAGGGATCGAGTCTGGAACCTCCTCATCAAGCGCCCATAATACTAATCACTGTGCCACCGATGAGCATAAGCGCACTCCGTAATCTGAAAGCGACTCAGGCCAAGCCCGATCCCACCGTAGGCCTAGGTGGCGTATAAGGCTCGTTATTTATGTTATTACTTACGTTTTTATAATATTAATGACTTCACTAGTGTACCTACGTTAAAACACTTAATTAGATATTTTACAGTATCCTCTAGTGAGCACATTAAAGGATTTATTTATGACCCATTGAGAAGTAACTTGAACTTAACTGTCTTTTTATGGATACTAAAATTTTTTTTTTAGATTGTTATCTTATTTATTAGACACAACGGTGTTAATTATTATGAATTAAAATTTATACGTGTCTGTAAAACACCTACGTACAAAAATATGCTTCGAATGTAATTATAATAAAATGTTTAACCGATTTATAACCGCAGTTTGGCGAGAAATAACACGACGATATCTTGTCGGACGAAATCGTGAGCAAAACGTTGCTTTTATAATATAGTTGTCTGAGAACGAACTTTGTTTCAAGTATCATACATTTATTTACTTTCCATCTGAAGCTTTATATACTTTGTTTGTTTTGTTTTCTTCTAACAAACCGACGTTTCGGGTTTTCAGGTCGCATGATCACGAATGACTGAGATGGTAATGTCGTCATCCAGTTATATCTAATATTAATTATTTTTCACTATAGTTACAAAAGTTATGAATTTAAAAAGCTTATTGTTAATGTATCAAAGAAAATTCCAATTTACGCCACGTACGTTTGTACGTGATACGTGAATTTTTATTTTATAATATCATTGTTGTTAAAATAAAATATGCTGCAAAACGTTTGACGGCCTCTGTGGCCACGATTTTTTGTCACCATCTCTAAGGTCCCAGATTCGATCCCCGGCCGGGTCAATATAGAAACTATCTTTGGTGTGGGTGTTTGTGGTA